CCAAGAGTGCCCTCTAGAGGCTGCAGAGTTCATGACAGTAACAATCAGAACAGAAAATAATAAGAATATCTTAAAGATCTCATATCCTCTTCTTCTTCGGTTTAAATATGTCTCACAAAACATGTGTGTGAAGTTTCTTGTTCTAAATCCACTCTGATCCTGTATTTGATCATGTCTATAAACCCCTCTATCTCAGCCCTGCTCAGAAAAGGCTGTTTCTGTACCTTTAAATATGTAAATGAGCTGTGTCTGACCACGCCCCCTCTCTGGGAGGGCTTGGGTGTCTCTGTCTTTCTCGCTCCATGTCCTATTGTTTACGGTGAGAAGGCAGATTCAGAGGGCAGAACAAACACCTAGCTGTGGGAGTGTCACCCACCTGGGGGAGGGGCTACTGCCCTTTGTGATGTCATGAAGGGAAAATCTCCAAACGGCCTGTTTGAGCACACATTTTCTGAAAAGTGGAGCAGGCAGAAGACGGAGAGGATGGACTTTTCTCATCATTGGGGGGTTTGTAGACGGACTAGAGACACATGTTAGAGTTAGAGGAACATGGGGAAGTGGATTTTATATATGTGACCTTTAATGTCCAGCAGGGGGCGACTCCACTGGTTTAAAAGCAGTCTTATTGTACAGAAGTCTATGATAAAGTCTTCTCACTTGTTTTCTTCCTCTCTGCCTCCTCCCCCTCCTCCTTCCTGTTCTCATTAAAGCAGATTGTTTCTGTCAGAGGATTACACTCTGCTCTGTTTCCCTCCGTACTGCAGGTCATCTCCCCCGTGTCTCCTCCTGGGTTTTTCTGAGGACCGGATCGAGGACCATGGGTCTGCTGGACGTCTTCGTGTCCATCAAAGAGCGAGCGGAAAACTTCCTGAACGAGAAGAACGTGGTGACTGACTTCCTGGGGAAGCTGGAGGAGAAGACGGGGATAAAGAAGAAGATCATCGCACTCGGTACGTTAGGGTTTTGTTCTCCTGGTCTGGGTCTCTGTGCTGGGTTCTGTTGGACCTGGTTCCGGGTGGTTCTTCTATGGTTCTATGTTCAGTGTTTTTGTTCCTGCTCGGTGCATGTGATCGAAACCTGAAGAGGATTCAGTTAATCCTCCTGTGAACATAATGGAGGCTCCGGTGAACAGCTGCTGTCTGCAGACTCAGACCTGAAGAGGAGCTGGATCTGTTCTGGGTCAACAGAACCTTTATGTAGACCACACTGTGCCTTTAAACTCACACAGATCCAGATCTCACTAACAACACTCCAACCTGTTCTGATCTGTAAATAGGAATCTGATTGGGTTTCTGTCGTTGGAGTTCCTGTTTGCTTTTGTGATGGAGAAGATTTCATTTCTGGATGATTTGATTTTGTGTCGTAGTTCTCGAGACCGGTCTTGGTCTCTTGGTTGCGGAACTTCCCGGTGTCGCGGTCTGAGTAAGTGACACGCCAACTGCACACAAGATAAGGTTTTTCAGTGATAATTATGGTCTTGGTCTTGACTTGATCTCAGTCTAGGTCTAGATCCCAAGATGACTTGATCTCGTCTCGGTTTTGCCCTGCCTTGGTCTTGACTTGGTCTTGCTTTGGCCTTGGTCTTGAGTCGGTCTTGATCCCTAAGTGTCTTGGTCTTGGTCTTGGTCTTGGTCTTGCTTTGGCCTTGGTCTTGACTCGGTCTAGGTCTAGGTCTGGATCCCAAGATGACTTGGTCTCACCCTGCCTTGGCCTTGGTCTTGCTTTGGCCTTGGTCTTGACTTGGTCTTGATCCCTAAATGTCTTGGTCTTGGCCTTGTCTCGCCCTGCCTTGGCCTTGCTCTTTGTCTTGCTTTGGCCTTGATCTTGACTCGATCTCGGTCTAGGTCTAGGTCTGGATCCCAAGATGACTTGGCCTTGGTCTTGGTCTTGGTCTTGGCCTTGGTCTTGCTTTGGTCTTGGTCTTGCTTTGGCCTTGGTCTTACTTTGGCCTTGGTCTTGCTTTGGCCTTGGTCTTGCTTTGGCCTTGGTCTTGCTTTGGCCTTGGTCTTACTTTGGCCTTGGTCTTGTCTTGACTCTGAGCACTCTGGTCTCTGGTGATTTCCTCCAGTTTCTCCTCCTTTTCCATCGTCCAGGAGAACCACACGTCCTTTGCTGTGTAAGTTTGCAGCTTCCTGCTTAGGGCTGGTGAGACCGCTCCTATTGGTTGTTGACAGCGGTCACAAGACACGACTAACTTTGACCTGTAACACTTTCAAACCGCTCCGACTGAGTTTAATGACCAAACTCCAAAAATAAAACCAACTCCAGAAGAACGCTCAGCCTCTGTCTGTGACATAGAGATACCTTGAGAAGCCGTTATGTGTGATGTCATCATGAGTCTGTTTGCTGTCTTATCCACAACACAACCTCCTCGTCTTCTTCTGAACACGAACGCTGCTTCAAACATGTCTCCTGGTGATGAGTTCAGGGGCACAGTTGTGTAAAAGAAGTTATAATGATAGGACCTTTTCTATGGAGTGAATCTCAGGGGATGAATCCAATGACAAAGACAAAATAAATATTGAGTGAAGGAGTGAGTTTAGTGCAGCGTGGGGCGGTGAACAGGGTCTATTCATGCCTCAGTGCTGCTCATACAGCAGATCAGTATCATGATGTCACTGCGGTGCCTGGTGCTCCGTGTCACCGCTGCCTCTCTTTAAATCAGATTAACAGAGACGGCCGAGCAGAGCGGCTCCATGTGTGAACGGCCACGTAAGCTCATCAGAGGTAGGACGCTTTTTACAACACTTCCTGTATCTGTGTGTGTGTGTGTGTGTGTGTGTGTGTGTGTGTGTCAGGACCTGCGTGCTGCGTTCACTGCCCTGCTCACAGTTCAGGGTTAACCTGCAGATATAGAGCTCATAGATCCAGTCCGTCCTAACATGTCTAATATCTTTATTCTGTTCACACATGGACTTCTACTCTGTACGGTGGCTGGGAAGTGCCAAACCAACAATTACCAAGTGTGAAACCTTCTTTTTAACCAAGGACAAAACTGATTTACAAGATGTGAAATACTTTCAAGAGCACTGAAAAGGTGGAGAAGGGGACTGTTTGAAAAGGTGGAGAAGGGGACTGTTTGAAAAGGTGGAGGAGGACTGTTTGAAAAGATGGAGGAGGGAACTGTTTGAAAAGGTGGAGGAGGGGACTATTTGAAAAGGTGGAGGAGGGGACTATTTGAAAAGGTGGAGGAGGGGACTGTTTGAAAAGGTGGAGGAGGACTGTTTGAAAAGATGGAGGAGGGAACTGTTTGAAAAGGTGGAGGAGGGGACTATTTGAAAAGGTGGAGGAGGGGACTATTTGAAAAGGTGGAGGAGGGGACTGTTTGAAAAGGTGGAGGGGGGGACTGTTTGAAAAGGTGGAGGAGGGGACTGTTTGAAAAGGTGGAGGAGGGGACTATTTGAAAAGGTGGAGGAGGGGACTGTTTGAAAAGGTGGAGGAGGGGACTGTTTGAAAAGGTGGAGGAGGGGACTGTTTGAAAAGGTGGAGGAGGACTGTTTGAAAAGATGGAGGAGGGAACTGTTTGAAAAGGTGGAGGAGGGGACTATTTGAAAAGGTGGAGGAGGGGACTATTTGAAAAGGTGGAGGAGGGGACTATTTGAAAAGGTGGAGGAGGGGACTATTTGAAAAGGTGGAGGAGGGGACTGTTTGAAAAGGTGGAGGAGGGACTGTTTGAAAAGGTGGAGGAGGACTGTTTGAAAAGATGGAGGAGGGAACTGTTTGAAAAGGTGGAGGAGGGGACTATTTGAAAAGGTGGAGGAGGGACTGTTTGAAAAGGTGGAGGAGGACTATTTGAAAAGGTGGAGGAGGGGACTATTTGAAAAGGTGGAGGAGGGGACTGTTTGAAAAGGTGGAGGAGGGGACTGTTTGAAAAGGTGGAGGAGGACTATTTGAAAAGGTGGAGGAGGGACTATTTGAAAAGGTGGAGGAGGACTATTTGAAAAGGTGGAGGAGGGGACTATTTGAAAAGGTGGAGGAGGGGACTGTTTGAAAAGGTGGAGGAGGGGACTATTTGAAAAGGTGGAGGAGGGGACTGTTTGAAAAGGTGGAGGAGGACTATTTGAAAAGGTGGAGGAGGGGACTGTTTGAAAAGGTGGAGGAGGGGACTGTTTGAAAAGGTGGAGGAGGGGACTATTTGAAAAGGTGGAGGAGGACTGTTTGAAAAGGTGGAGAAGGGGACTGTTTGAAAAGGTGGAGGAGGGAACTGTTTGAAAAGGTGGAGGAGGACTGTTTGAAAAGGTGGAGGAGGGGGGTGATATGTCCTCTTTAAGACGGGAGGTGTTGGAAATAATCTGTTAGTATGTGTTGAGCTGTTTGGGTCATATTGTTGCTCTCCACACACTAAAAGAACTAAACTGTTTCATGTTATTTTAACCAACGTCTGTGTTAAAAGCTATCAAACACAGTCGTCTGATTCTTGTATGATTTGAGTTTCTGATTTCCAACATGAGGTGCGTCTCCCCCTCTGTCCCGTCCAGGTGCCGTCTCACTGACCGGACTCTACCTGGTGTATGGATATGGAGCCTCGCTGCTCTGCAACCTGATTGGATTTGTCTATCCAGCCTATTACTCGTGAGTATTTCATGTGTTTGTCTTTCACTCACAGAGACATGTCTGTCCGACTACAAGTCCCAGAATGCATTGCTGTCATATATTATTTAACATCTGGTGTCTTGGTCCACTGCGTTAGCCTGCAGCCATCATGACCATTAAATCGCTCGTTTGTTCGGTCTGATGGGATGTTTTTCTCTTCACTGTTAATCTGAAACATTCACAAACCGATTCTTTTCTGTCTTATCTGCAGAATCAAAGCCATCGAAAGTACGAGTAAAGAAGACGACACAAAATGGCTGACGTACTGGGTGGTGTACGGCGTCTTCAGCATAGGCGAGTTCTTCTCAGACATCTTCCTCTACTGGTTCCCGTTCTACTACGCCTTCAAGGTGAGGAAAACCACGGGGGTCACCTGGTGCAAAGGCTCTGCAGCGGGGGGGGCAAAACATCTGACGTTAAGAACTGCGTGCAGAATATTCAGAAATGATGCAAATTCAAAAACACATCCAAGAGTCCAACACAAACACAACGAATGAAACAGACCTGCTGCAAGAAAGACAAAACAACTGAACTAACATCAAACACACTGTAAATACTTAAACCAAACAGAGTCAGCAACACACAAATTCAGAAAAAGGACTACAAACAGGAAGAAACTGTAGTTTAAAGGGTCACTTATATTAAATCCACTTCATCATGTGTCTCTAGTCGGTCTACAAACCCCCAATGATGAGAAAAGTCCATCCTCTCCATCTTCTGCCTGCTCCACTTTTCAGAAAATGTGTGCTCAAACAGGCCGTTTTCCCTTCATGACATCACAAAGGGCAGTAGCCCCTCCCCCAGGTAGGTGACACTCCCACAGCTAGGTGTTTGTTCTGCCCTCTGAGTCTGCCTTCTCACCGTAAACAATAGGACATGGAGCGAGTAAGACCGAGTACACCCAAGCCCTTCCAGAGAGGGGGCGTGGTCAGACATCGCTCATTTACATATTTAAAGGTACAGACACAGAAACAGCCTGTTCTGAGCAGGGCTGAAATAGAGGGGTTTATAGACATGATCAAATACAGGATCAGAGTGGATTTAGAACAAGAAACTTCACACATGTTTTGAGGAGCTCTGAGAATTATTTAAACTGGAGAAGAGGAGGAGGATGATATGTGACCTTTAAATGGAAGGGCCCCAGGCCTCTAGGGGTGCTCTGTGGAACAGTTTATATTGGAGCTAGCGCTAGTTTCAAGCTGCTCTGACAGAACCCCGCTCAGCTGTTTCTCTTATGGTGGTAAAATCTAAACCAGACTTTAAATCTCCTGGTTGCTGCATTCACTCTGTGTTGTCAGACTATTCCACTTTTCACTTCCTTGTCTCCTTCATTTTCCCGTCATGCAGCGTTCCACAGAGCGCCCTCTACAGGCCTGGAGCTTTTACATTTAAGACTGGATTTGCAGCATTCATCTTTATGCACTCGTTTTTGAATATGTGTGTTTTCGACTTTGGATCATTTATATATTTGAAGCGTTTCATGTTAATGCAGCATGTTTGATTTGTTACACCCACCTCTGACCTTCTTCTGAACGCCTCTTGTGGGCTTCATATAGACAAACGTTTCCTTTGTTAGAGAGAGTAGTCCTCGCTCTACAGACTCAAAGATGAACTCCTCAGAGATTTGACTGGAGGCTTGGATCACTGAGGACATGAGTTCGTCCTGAAACCCTGACTCTCTCTTGCGCCTCCAGTGTCTCTTCCTGTTGTGGTGCATGGCTCCAATGTCGTGGAACGGCTCCCAGATCATCTACAACAGAGTGGTCCGGCCCATCTTCCTTCGTCACGAGGCCATGGTGGACAACTTAGTGAACGACCTCGGAGGGAAGGCGATGAGCGCCGCCGAGAACCTGACCAGAGAGGGTACAGAGACCAGTTCTACACCGCTGTATTCAAACTGAGATTATTCTAAACATCTGACTGAATCATTCTTCTCTCTTCAGTTCTGACCACTCTGGTGAAGAATAAAGCTCTGGTGAGTCCGTCAGCGCCGACCGTCTCCGAGCAGAAGAGTTTACCGAGTACATCGTCGGCTAAAGTCACGCCGTTAGAGTCAGAGGAAGAGAAACCGGTACGTACATCACAGCTGCTTCACGTCTTTAGAATAAAACTTTGAAGTTTGACCTTCTTTATGTTTGACCTTCAAAATGCGGTTTCTCTCCGCCTGACATTAATTCATCTACTGGAGACATTATTTATTTGTATTTCTTCATAGTGTCTTAGTAGTGACAGATTATATGGGGAGGTTAGTTAACGTGGTTTGAGCTCATACTGCAGCTTTTTATAAACACTAAATCGTTTGTAACGTCCAATCAGATCGAAGAACTTTGCACGCTAACCCGTCTGTCCTGTTTCCTGTTCCAGCCTTTCCTGGGTTAACCAGGTAAGCCCACTAGTTAGCTATCAGTTAGCATGCTGCAGTGAATGTTGTGAGAAGAGAATTAGCACGTAGCATCAGGCTGCAGATTTAGTCTTAGAGACAGATGGAGACCCCCCCCCCCCCCGACACGTCTCTCCTAATTATATTCAGCATCCACACAGACAGATCAACTTCTTTTATCTTTTAAACCCGATTAAATCTTTCTACATGTCAGCAAACACAGAGTTAGCTCCAAACACAAAACAACCCCCGTTCATAAAGAGCTGGGACACCCCCACCCCCCCCCCGCCCCGCGCCCGACATGTATCGACACCAATCAGGACTAAACAGAGATGGAGCAGGCACACTGGCGCCCTCGTGTGGTTTCTTTGGGTAATGACACACAAGCTCGATTTAAGGACAACAGAAATAAATAAATCAATAAGTCAATAAATATACAACAAAGAGGACAGGAGTCACAGATATGATCAAGAACAAGGACAAGATGAGGAAAATATACAATTAATTAATTAAGTTTGTATTTATTCATGCTCTCAGTAACGCTTCACACTTTCTGCCTGTTGTTGCTTTTTGTCTGTTCCCCTCCAAGTTCTTCAGATAGCAGCGGAGGAAGAGGAGGAGCCTAATGTGAGGAGGAGGAGCTTCATGTGAGGAGACGAATCAGAGAGAGTGAAGGTGTTCCTCTTTGAGATTGATTCTTTTTTTTTATATCAGATGTTATATTTATACTCCAGTCTGTAACAGGATTTAATTTAAAAAATAATAAGTCACAGTTTGGTTTAAAACTCTGCAGACAGACTCTACATGTTTTTATTTATTTATTCATTTATGTATTGATGCTTTTGGGGGATCAGTGGGATGTTTTTTAAAAGATGTGGAGCATCTGAAGTTTATCACTCAGTTCATACAGCAGTCTGCAGATTCTTCAGCATGTGGAGCTTCTTTTTTGAAAAAATTGGGATGACACAGTTTTGAAGACGTGCACGTGTTTTTTTTAAATCTGCAGCTCTGCTCTCAGACATTTTCAGTTCCACGTCTCGGACTCTGGAGGTCTCTGTTGCTCTTCATCACACATGTTGCTGTTTATATTTTATCTTCTGTTTTTGTTCTTCAACAAAAAAAGAGATCATGAACTTGATATGACAATTAAACAATGATGAGAAAATAAATTAAATCAACAAACTGCCTGACTCCTTTTATGACGTCCTGTTTGTCGCAGTGTTTTAAGCTAAACTGAAGTGACCTTAAGAAGGTAAATTCATATTAAAGGTCCAATCAGTGAGCTGTGTAGAGAGGTATCTTACTCTCTGATCATTAAAGGTCCAATCAGTGAGCTGTGTAGAGAGTGAGATGATAAAGGTATCTTACTCTCTGATCATTAAGGAAACATGCTATGTTGAAGTGCTGGCTTCTCTGACAACAATGCAGCAGCCAGTATGTCCTCCTTCTAACTTTACATTCTGCTCCTGAATGCTCTGGATTTGTTTGGACCAGAGTGTGAGGTGGGCTATGTTTGGGTGTAGAGGGTGATCATGAGGGTAACTGTGCAAAGAATGCGACACGAAATCACCTTTCAGCATGGACCGTCAGGTCTAAACCATGAAGGAAGAATAAATGACAAAAACAACGGTAGGTGGCAGTAATGCTCCGCCAGGTCGCCAGAAGAAGAAGAACGTTCCATGGAGGAGTGACGTCAGTGCGTTCCACCGACGTCCCGACGTGGCAGGTAACGTACCGTGCAGTGTTTTCATCCAGTAGCATTAACCGGGGCGCCGCTTGACACACCGTTACAGCACTGTCCGGTACTTTTCCGTCCTTCATCCCGGTGTGAGCTGCCGGAGACAGCCTGACACAAGAGCCGAGACTGATATTGTATCTTAACAAGACGACTAAACGTAAGTACCGAGGAACTGTAGTTATTGTGGCGAGTTCAAGCAAGAACACCGAACTCGGTATAAATATTGTGAAAGTGCAACTTTAACTTCTTCTCAGCGACGATATAACTCCGCTTTACATTAATTGAAGATGTTTCATGAATCAAACAGACTTTAATTTAAATTCGGCTCAGAAATATATCCACATTCTGCGATACATATCAACATAACGACGATTTAGCTAGTTAGCATCAGGTTAGCATCGTGCTATTAGTGTCCTCAGTGTGAACAAACCGCAGTTAGTTCTGTGAAATTAATCTTCATTAATAAAGATAGATGATATATTTTACGCCGAATTGACTGGACAGGGTACTAATTCCGAAATGTATTGTAATATTTTGTCTACGGGACGTTAGCCTTCAATGTCAGTTGGGTGAATCTTTATTTAATTAGTAATCTAACAGAAGTCTGGTGTAGGTGCAGGACGGCCTCACGTGTTTGTCTGTTTGGTGAATGAATAGTTCATAGTGAATATATGATGGATAAATAAAGTCTTGTAAATGAGTTGATGGTTATGTTTTTATTTTATTGTGCAGAGTCATTTTAGTTTTTTGAAAAGCCAGACTGATTAATCTGCTAGACAATAATATCAGCAAATCCAGTGACTCAGTATCAGCGTGTTACCAATATTATTCACCAGAATGTGAGTTTCATTGTATTACACTAGCAGTTCTCTTTCACCAGCAGAGGGCGCTAAACGGATTACAACAAACACCACTGCAGAGTGTTGAGCGCTGATGCTGTTCATGCTCACTTACTTTCCAGTCGAGTGACCATCTTGTCTTCATTATAAATCTTTTGAGTCTGATAACTGAGGGATCAACAGAATGCAATGTGTGTATCTATAGCTCTATATCTACAGATCTAAGAGAGATTTATCAGTATCGGATTTTTTTCTATTCCTGATATCGGTATCGGCCCCTAAAATCCCATATCGGTCTGGCCCTAGTTTTTGTACAGTTTACATTTCTTGTCTACCTATTTTTTTTTATCTTCAATCTCGCTCTTTTATTTTTATACTTTTACTTTTTTTTGTAGAGGTGTCTCTGGTGGAGAAATGCACATCAATTCTAATGGACCTGTGCAAATACAGATAAACCTCTAATCTAAAATCACGACCGAGCATGTGTTGCATGCATTTACAGCCAGTTAATCCACTTATTAAACAAACCACTCGACCCCTGATGACAAATGTTTGTGTGCAGAAGCAGGCGGTGCAGCTAGGTGTGCAGCAGGATGAATATTGGATCCAAAAATAAGAAGCGGCAGGTCCTGCCCAGCCGTCCTGACCCCCCCACCGTGGACCAGATCCTGGAGGACATCAACGGAGCCGCTCCCAATGACCCCGTCTTCAGCATCCTGGAGCAGACTGGACAAGGTGAGTCAACGCAGACAAAGAATTTCTCCTGTAGTCTGAGCCGGGCTTTAGAGAGCTCTGGAGTCTGTGACCAAACAAGTCTTACTTTTCTGACGAACACAGATTCCCCTACTTGTCTTGCCTACATTTTAACTTTAACTCCCAGTTTTCATAGTTCACTGACTGGTTCTCGTCCTCTCCTCAGACTCGCCGCGGCCCTCAGACAGCGAGGTGGAGTCCCGGTTCCAGCAGTGTCGTCAGTATCTGGAGCTGAACGAGCGGCTGCAGGAGGTGCGGGGTCGGCTGCTGAAGCAGAGGGAGGAGCTGAGAGCGGCGGGCGAGCAGCTGCAGACTGACGTGGAGGAGGTCAGAGGTCAAACACTCTGACTGTGCACCTCTTCTGTTACAGACTTTCCTCGACCTCTCAGTGTAGGACGGTTTACCTGACGGTCTGAGCGCAGAGGGCCGGCTGCCTGAGCTGGAGCAGGTCAAACCTGCCACACTGTCGCTACGTCAGCAGCCACTCTGTCGCTACGTCAGCAGCCACTCTGTCGCTACGTCAGCAGCCACTCTGTCACTACGTCAGCAGCCACTCTGTCACTACGTCAGCAGCCACTCTGTCGCTACGTCAGCAGCCACTCTGTCACTACGTCAGCAGCCACTCTGTCACTACGTCAGCAGCCACTCTGTCGCTACGTCAGCAGCCACTCTGTCGCTACGTCAGCAGCCACACTGTCGCTACGTCAGCAGCCACTCTGTCACTACGTCAGCAGCCACTCTGTCGCTACGTCAGCAGCCACTCTGTCACTACGTCAGCAGCCACACTGTCGCTACGTCAGCAGCCACTCTGTCGCTACGTCAGCAGCCACTCTGTCACTACGTCAGCAGCCACTCTGTCACTACGTCAGCAGCCCTAACGTTGACTTCTGAAGCTGAGAAACAGATTGTTGCTGAATCAAGCAGGAGGATAAGTTGGGATTATTTCAACAGTAACTTAATACATCTGAAAGTTGAAGGGTCATTCAGTGTCATGGCTGACAACATTCATTTCTTGGTCGACTACTTAAAGGTAGAATGTGCAACTTTTTGATCCAGTAGATGTCGACCTTGACCTCCAGCATGAAACCAAAATAAACTGCTGTTTGGCCACACCTCCTCCATCCTGAAGCTTTCACTCTCCTCAAATCAAATTGGAACGAACCATAATTAAGCACTAAGCGCAAGCCACAGACAAACTTGTCCTGGTCTCGAGCTGCATTGTTGTGTTAACATGCTAATGTTAGCGCTCTTTAGTTAGCTCGTAGCTTCACATTGTTGTGTTAGCATGCTAATGTTAGCGCTCTTTAGTTAGCTCGTAGCTTCACATTTCATGTAAACTGACACAGAATGAGCGTGATCTAAAAACTCTTACTAACATCCAAATAATCAGTGAGTATGTTCTTCTTCTTCTCTCTAGTTCTTGACTAAAACAGCTTTTATACACAAGGGGAGGAGCCGGCCGTCCCGTCCATGTAAACACGGCTCTGACAACAACACAGCCAGCGGGACTCGAGCTTCTCCCTCATTGTAGACAGTCATGACTCAGAGACACATTTACACAGGACAGACTTTATGATTTATTTATGTGGAACATGTTGATCATTCTTCCTTAAAACTCCCAAACTGTTATATGGGTTATGAAATGCGGGAACGCAAACTTATTCTGATGTTTCAGAAAGAGTAAAGACCAATCTTTGTTACTTCTGACTGATAAAGTTGATTTAATTCATCTGTAATTTCATCCTGTTTCTAATCAGATCAATTAAAAGTGTGAAGGCGAGTTCCGACTCAAAACAAAGTCAAAGCTTGTGTTATTTATTGACAAACGTTTGTAATTCTCCATTTTCTCTTAATCTCCTTCTTTTCCTTTTTTGACTGGGGTGACCCAACTGGGGCCCCGACTTATGCAGGGGTGGCCAGAATTTAGAGTACTTAAAAATCTGGATTCAAACTCCTGCACAGTCTAACTCGCAATGTTTTGGTCCCGACATAAAACAAGCAGTCTTTCCTCCCCAAAAAAGACCTAATGATTGGTTTTAACACAAGTCCCGCCTCTAACAGGGCAAGTAACCAATCACAGTTTAGGATTTTTGGGGTTGCACCTTGGGTGGCCAATCAGATTTCTAGGGGGGCCTTGCCACCCCTCTGGACACGGCCCTTGTTCCTGAAGTTAAATCCTGAAGACCCAAGGTAGAACTGATTAATGGTTTATATTGATCCCTCATCTTTTATGATGGTAACATAAAAACCTTTTTTTCTATATGGGACCACCTTGAAGGAGCTGTGCTGACAATCCCAAAGCAGTCAAGATGATGACATCTCCCCGGAAACGTGTAATAATTTTCATTAAAGAATAAAAATAAGATTTAAATTTTTATAGGCCTGTCTTAACACCAAAGTTTGGCATTACCTTTAAACTGAAGTTTAAATGAAGGATGAATCAGTTCATAAAAGCAAAGAGACATGTTCTGTCTTCTTAGCATAACATGCTAGTTTTGTCAACAAACACAAGAAACTTCTGGGTATTGAATATTAAAGGTGACATATCCTCCTCCTCTTCTTCAGTTTAAATAAGTCTCAGAGCTCCTCAAAACATGTGTGTGAAGTTTCTTGTTCTAAATCCACTCTGATCCTGTATTTGATCATGTCTATAAACCCCTCTATTTCAGCCCTGCTCAGAAAAGGCTGTTTCTGTGTCTGTACCTTTAAATATGTAAATGAGCTGTATCTGACCACGCCCCCTCTCTGGAAGGGCTTGGGTGTACTCGCTCTTTCTCGCTCCATGTCCTATTGTTTACGGTGAGAAGGCAGACTCAGAGAGCAGAACAAACACCTAGCTGTGGGAGTGTCACCCACCTGGGGGAAGGGCTACTGCCCTTTGTGATGTCATGAAGGGAAAATCTCCAAACGGCCTGTTTGAGCACACATTTTCGGAGAGGATGGACTTTTCTCATCATTGGGGGGTTTGGAGACAGACTAGAGACACAATTTAGTGTCAGAAAAACATGGAGAAGTGTACTCTGCAGAATATGTGACCTTTACATATTCACTCAGTCAAATCAGGTGATTGCATTTTACTTTTTTGGATGAATTCCTCTTCAAAAACCAGCTTCATGTTCAGATCTTGATCACCCCTCCATTGTGTCAGTGAATATCAAGACAAGTTAAATAAAAAGTTCTGTCATGATTTCCATCTCTTCTCCTCGGGTTGGACCCAAAACATCTGTATGAAATCAAGTCTACACAGTGATGTAATGAAACACATCACTTTTTATTGGATGAAACATTTATAATGACACACCTCTGTTGCTTTACCTATGTCACATGGCACCATAACACGTCCTTGGTCTTGATCACGCCTGACAGGCCGAGGACTTTAACCATCAATAAACGACTCGTCCAATATATTCTGGACATGATGCATAAAATCTTGTCTCCTATCAAACGCGATCGAGGCCGTTGACGGCTATGGCGTTCAAATATCCAGGACCTTCTGATGGCTTTTAAACATGGAGCCAAACTCCCCATGCACCTCGATCACACATTTCCCATCATTTCATCCTGACTTTACTTTCGGGGCTGTTTTAGTGATTACATGGCTGAAAATCAATTTTGGTGGGATAAAACGCCCAACTTGAATGGTTCCACCTAGTGTTGTAGTACTCGAAAACAGTCTTGGTTTCGAGACAGGTCTTGGTCTCAGGACTGGTCTCGAGACCACTTTTGAAGGTCTCAGTCTTGTCTCTGAATCAAAAGCAGTTTTACTCAGTCTTGTCTGAGTCTCAGACTGGGTGGACTCTGGATTTTTAATCAAGACCGGCCAAGACCACCACTGATCGGCTATTTTTCCACATCATCACTGTGATCAGAAGGAAAACCCTTCCCGGTGTTACGCCTGCTGCAAACAAGATGATGATTTTTCACTGGTATTTATGGTCTTGGTCTCGTTCTGTCTTGGTCTTGACTCGGTCTCGACCCCTAAATGTCTTGGTCTTGACTCAGTCTCGCCCTGCCTTGGTCTTGGTCTTGACTCGGTCTCGCCCTGCCTTGGTCTTGACTCGGTCTCGCCCTGGTCTTGGTCTCAACTCCGTCTCGATCCCTAAATGTCTTGGTCTCAACTCCGTCTCGATCCCTAAATGTCTTGGTCTTGACTCGGTCTCGATCCCTAAATGTCTTGGTCTTGACTCGGTCTCGATTCCTAAATGTCTTGGTCTTGACTCGGTCTCGATTCCTAAATGTCTTGGTCTTGACTCGGTCTCGATCCCTAAATTTCTTGGTCTCAACTCCGTCTCGATCCCTAAATGTCTTGGTCTCGACTCGGTCTCGATCCCTAAATGTCTTGGTCTTGACTCGGTCTCGATCCCTAAATGTCTTGGTCTTGACTCGGTCTCGATCCCTAAATGTCTTGGTCTTGACTCGGTCTCGATCCCTAAATTTCTTGATCTTGTCTCGGTCTCGGAGCACCCGGTCTCAGGTATGTCTTGGTCTCGGTTATTCTGGTCTTTACTACAACACTAGTTCCACCCTTCAAGCTAAAATTGCTGGCTACAACAAGAGACGAGGATGTATTAAATTTGAAACCTACATCTACTGGCTTTGAAAGGATTTCTCATCATGTTTCATTTCTCAAACTGAAACTCTAACTGTTCTTAGTGAATCAAAAATACAACAGGTGAGTGTTCATTACTCAAAGGAAAGAGATTATTTCAGTAGTAAATCACTTACAGGTCTCAAAATGGCGACAGGGACTCGAAAGGTCTGCATTCAAAAGCTTCTTGGGGGCATTATTTTTAGGCAGAACATGCTTTGGAAACACATGGGGGTGGTAGTAATTAATACAAACAGCCCCGTAGATTCACGTCTGTTCTGTCTTTGATCTCCGAGCACACATGAAGGAGTGATAGTACACTACAGAGAATATTCATCGTCATTATATTTGACTTCTTCTCGACCTATCGCTACTTTTACAGCAACACAGTTAAGCAGATACTAACACGTTATAAGGACTTTCAGAGGATAACTTCTGCAAGGACAATTGCCGTAGACCAAAAAAACCCCGACCATCACTGAAACAGATGTTTTGGTTTCATGACAGGAAATACTCGACAGCAAACGGTACCTGTATCTAGTAGCAACACAAAATACAATGTCTTTGACTTTGATTAACAGAGGCTTTGTTCATCTACACGGACAGTTCATAGCATTATAGGTCTTTGCAGCACTTAAACTGATGGCTAGTTATGCTCTCATCAGGGAGTAGAAAGCATGTTACCACTGTACAACAGCTTCATTGTTATCCAGTGTTTACAGGTGTGTGTGTGTGTGTGTGTGTATGCAGTCAGTGAATATACTAGCATGCTGTCAGGGAGTAGCACAGATCCTTTTGCCCATCAGGAAGTTTTGAAGATTGTGTATATCTGCATGTTATTTACAATATTGAGTAAGACAAAGACTGCAGGAGAGTGCAACGCCAACCAGATTCAGCTGATAGATCGGAAAATGACAGTAACGGCTATGATGTTTTCTAGATGGTTCTGGAGACCGGTGAGTGGCGGGGAATTATTATGGTTTTAATCATTTGAGCACTACCTATTTTATCTCTTTGCAGGGTTTGCCGTGGACACTTTATATCATTTAAATTAGCTGTACTGTAGCTCCGTAGGAACCCATAATATTTTGGAATGAGTGAATCTAGCAGAATCTAATCTTTCACACTTGCAAAAAACTCCTGATATTTCCCAGAGGAGCTGCTGTGAACTCAAACAACCACATTTTAAGCTCGGACTTCACCCGGAGTTTCTCCTGCAGCCTCCTCGTATTTATTCTGCAGAGAGTCAGAGTGAGCTGATGTGAGAACGCATCAGGATATAATCAGGAGAATTCACCTGGAGGAGTGGGAGAGGGGAGTGACGTTTCTATACTGTGATCGCTGCACGCTACACGTAGCATTAATATTAAGACAAATATTCTCATTATAGCGTCATATAGCGGACCTCTGATACTTCCGCATCTTTTCTTTACATCACGTCTTAGCTCTGGAGACCCCCGTCCACCTCCTGTCTGACAGGGATAATCTCCCGCTGTGAGGTGCATGTGTGAACAACCAGATCAGGAGTATATCCGGAGCAGTCCTCCGGGAATTTCCTAGATATTTTCAGGAGTGTAGATGTGAAAACGGTTTAGGAGTGAGATTTTAGAGCACATATAATCCACCATAACCTCATCCCAAAACCCTTGAGTGAGTAGTCCGAGGTAAATCAATTCCCTCAAACTGTTGCTGTGCCCTTCGGTAAATTTTTGGCAATGACTTGCAAAATGGTTAGCTTTAAGATTTGAAGTGGATAGAGCAGAATCTAGACATCTAAAGTATATCATATCAGGTTGAATGGTGAGGCAAAAGTTAAAGCATTGATGTACTGAATGTAAGAAAAGACTATATGTCAGTGTATTCGTGTCCTTGGTGAGAGTCCGTCAGCAGTCCGCCACAGTTGTTGGGTGACTTGTTGGGTAAAAGTCCAGCAGCTGAGTTGTCCTTCAGAAATTTGCATAATAATGTTCTTACATCGATTCTGTCCAGGAGACCAATGGTGAAGAATGTGCTGAAATCAAGTTTTTTTTTTCTTAATTGTTTTCACTACATTTTCTTTAACCAGGCAATGATTATTCTACAAATACAAAAAAGTACAAAAAGATGCTCTTCTGGTCCTTTTGAAGTGCATCTCTAAAAGTTATTGAAGGTCTGTTCTTGTCAGACCTTCCTCAATGCATACATCCAATCCTCTATGAATGGAGATGGAAGCTTTT